AAAACGTGGAATTTATTTTTTGTCTAGACATTTTTTTAATTCATTTTTATTATGTTATAAGAAAACAGAAATGCATTTTTATTCAGCTTCACAGTCTCAAAAATTGTAAGGAAAAAATAGAATATTTGTCAAATGACACGCTAGCGTAAGTAGTACCGTCTCTGCTTCTCACGCGGGTAGTTACCGTTCGATTCTTCGTAGGGGAATTATTTTTTTTTTGTTTTTCTATCCTTAAGTTATACAAATTCTTTTTACATTTCTTAATTTTTAATTTTATTTAGGAAAGAAAATTAAAATATTACTAAAAATTTGAAGCAATAATTTTTTTACCATCTTGCGCAAATAAAGGAAGATTTATTACTTGAATTACAGTTAATATTTTATTTTTTTAATATAAAAAAATATTATTATGTAATATAGTAACAAATAACAATATATATCTATCTATATCTTTCCTGTATATAATTAAAAATTAAGAAATGTAAAAAGAATTTGTATAACTTAAGGATAGAAAAACAAAAAAAAGAAGATTTTTCTGTCAATTTGGTGGGATTGGAAAGGTCTGGTGTATTTTGAGCTGCTTCCAAGGAACCAAACCATTAATCTGGAGGTCTATTGTCGGCAACTGGACAAATTGAATGCAGCAGTCAAGGAGAAGCGACCAGATTTGGTCAATCGTAAAGGTGTCATTTTCCACCAGGACAATGCTAGGCCGCACACGTCTTTGGCCACTCGGAAAAAATTGATGGATATTGGTTGGGAATTGATGTTACACCCACCATGTAGCCCTGATGTTGCTCCACCGGATTACCATTTATTTCGATCTCTGGACAACTCCCTCCATGGTAAAACTTTTAATAATGATGACGCTGTAAAATCGCACTTACTTCAGTTTTTGGCTGAAAAAGATCAGATTTTCTACGAGCGTAGAATTTTCAAGTTGTTAGAGAGATGGCAAAAGGTCATCGAACAAAATGGAAAATACATCATAGATTAAAGTTTATTCCAAGTAAGAAAAAAAACACTTTTATTTTATGGAAAAAATCAGCAATTACTTTCTTGCCAATCCAATATATAATAAATAACAACGAAATACAAAATGTATTACTTGAATTATATATGTATATTACCGAAAAAATGCAGAAATCAGTTATTCTGCAGATTATCTAGATAATCTGCACATTCCCTACTAGGCACTCGTTAAAGTGAAAATAAAATCTTTGCTGAAACAACAAAATCGTTTCTGTATGCTTAAATTAACATAATGTTATTTATTAATTTTTCGATATCTAAAAAATCAAATTAATATACAATCAAACAGTCAACAAATTAGTAGATAGAATCAATCATCGATCAATTAAAAAACTATAATAAAAACAGAATCAAACGGTTTAAATTACAATTAAGGAAATGAATTGGCAAAACAAATAAAATTATGCTTATGTAATAGTGCAATTTAAAGATTGGTGACACTTTAAATTACATAGCGATTGGTTTTTATGACAAGTACGCCTATTTTTGGTACATTTAGATTTGCAGTCACATTTTATGAAACCCTGCCTAGTACGATACGATAGGAAAGTGCAGTTAGTTGTGGAAATGGTTTAAGAAAATGTTATGAAAGGAATTTGCAAATGTAATAAACATACACATAAGGTACATAGTATGCTTAAGAAGCGATTGAAGAAGAAAATATGCTTTGTGTTATGTTATATTAAGAAGTACGACGAATAAGAATAGTTCGAGTTAAAAAGTAAGATGTGACACAAGAATAGACTTTTTTTAAACGTTGTTATCCAATTTTTAATCATTCTCTCGCCTTTTTGGCTTTTTACGATTGTTAGAATAATATAAATTATTTTAATAACTATATATATAAGCTGATTATATATATATATTTACATCTTTATTAAATATATTCATTCTCCAAAGTCACAATCATTGGGAAACTAATATTTGTAAAAGTTCATCCGGTGATCTTGTAAATAAACCAGTCGGATTTTTATATAAATTTTTCGGATCTTGACAAGCTTCGTAAAGCTGTTTGTAAATAGCTCCAATTACTTCGAATGAACGTTTCTTGGTAACCTCACGATGATTGTTGCTTTGTAGTAAATTTATTTGAGGTAATAATAATACATCCGGCATTACTAAAAATGCTTCCAATTTGTTCTAAATGAAATTACAAAAACATGTTGATATGTTAGAATAATAAATTATATATTAAAAAATAACAATAATAAAATTATTTATTAAAATTATATTAATAAATATTTCAGAAAATATGATTTATTTATTACCGTGAATTCTTTAACACTTAATGGATCCATTCCAGGAATATCAGAAAGAGGACCCTGTTCACGTCCTTGTAAAATAGTATAAATTGATCCGAGATTTAAGTTTGCAACTAAAGAGCTAGCTTGTTCCGATGTAAGCGTATCAATTTGAGCATCTGACTGAGCCTATATTTGATGAATTAAAAAAATTAATACATGAAAATAATAATAAAATATTACATTAACATTTAAATTATAGAACTAATTGTTTACCTGCAATCGTTCTAATCTTTGATCCATATATTCATATAATCCTAATGTTGATTGTATTTGATGCATACAATTAAGAAGATACACAGCCATATCAACCGTAGGTAACCTCGAAGCTGTTTCATTAACTTCTTGTAGTAATGGATCGATGATACACGATACTATCTGTAAAAATATAATTTGTGTTAATACCGATACGATTGAATGTATTATATCAATATGATTGAATTTACTTGAAGCATATCTTTTTCTCTATCTTCGGCTATGCTAGCCACGGATAGAATTTCATTTAGGAGGTATAGTAATCTTGAAACTGATGGAGCCGGTACCAAGTCATTTCTTGGTGGTTCAGCTCGTTCTCCAAGAGCTATTCTAGTTTCTCTTTGTAATCTACTGAGAAAACTTTTCTCGCTTAATATTAACAAATCATACAAAGTTGAATCTAGAATGCTATCTGGTATAACTTGCTGAATTATAGCACGATAAAATCTTATTAGAGTTGTAACAGAATATAAGACAGTAGCTGGAGCTTCGACAGAGACTATGTGTTCTATTCTTGATTGTAGAGGATGACAAAGTCCTTCCGTAATGTTACTTAGACATTGCTTAATTTGATCAGATACATCTAAAATAAATATTCCTATTAATTGTTTGCAGCAACTTATTAAGAATATTATTATCGATAGCAATTTCTTACCAGTTTTATCGCAATCTTTAACTAAAATCAATATGTTCTCCTTTTCAATAGGAATTGCTTGATGCAACCAAGCAAGCATGTCGCCAACATATCTTTTATGATCATGAGCGTGCATTTCTATAGGATTTGGTGTTCCACCAATGGATTCACCTAACGTTAATGCGTCGATAAAAGACCCTATGAGAGCTGTTCTTCTATTAGCGCAATATTCATCTAAAATATATCTAATAAAAAAGGTTTAATAAATAAATGTAAAAATAAATTATTTTACTAAAATATAAATAGTTCAACGTACTTGAATAAAATAGGTCTATCTTGCAATTTACTCATCGCTTTAACAAGTAAAGGTGCTAACTGTTCGTCTTCTATATATTTACATTGACTCTGCGTCCATCTGTATAACCTCTCCAAAGCGGCTTCTTGAAGAAGCGTCATTCTTTGCATTATATCTAATGCCAGCGTTTGATAACCAGATTGCATCAATATTCTGCAGTTGCTATGTATTTCCTTTAAATTTAAATATTATTAAATTTAAATAAATTAACATGTTATACATATAAATGCTGCGCCAGTCCTTAGGGACTCGCTTTAGACTTTCTATCCAAGCTATGTCGATCACTAATGGCCAATATTCTTATATCCTTTCTATGACTGACAGATCATAATGGCCTAAATGGAAAGCTCAACAAAAAAGGCTTGACATGAACTTGATTTAAAATACTTTATTGAAAATTTTACCTGTACTCGACTAAGAATAGTAAAAAATTCTTCACTTATAGGAGACTCTCTGTGCGATCCATGCAAACTTGTTATCTCCGATTGAGATAATTGAAAATTCTTGATAAATGCGTTTGCAACTTCTTGTTGCATCGATAATACTTGACTACAAATTGTATACAAATGTTACACATTTTTTTCTGCAATTAATTATATTACTTTTTAAGAATAAAATACCTTTCATTTTGAAGTTTTGTTGTTTGTTCAATGAGCTGGGAAGTTTTAGTTTTTGTAATTTGTAAGCGATTGGTCATACATTGAACTGAAGTATTCATTGCTAATACATCTTGATATATATTATCTAAACAAGTTTTAACTTCTCTAAAAGATGATAAAAAGTCTTCATTAATGGCAAGACTTCTTCTTTCTATTTTACTTCTTAAATTACGACGAGCATTTAATGTGTTTTCCGTAAAAAATGTTGACAATTCTTTCAAAGCTTCTAATGTATCCTAAGAAAAAAAACAAGAAAAATAATCAAAGTAAACTTAATATACATAACAATCAGATATATTTAAATGTATATATATATAAATTATATTTATTAACATACCTTGTCATGCTCTACTCTTGATTCGAGTAATTTATTAACTCGTCTAACCAAAGCCGAATTAGTATTTTTTTCACTCATTGCAATTAACTATTTTCATAATCGTTAGAGAACAGATATATATCCCGTAATTTATGACAGATCACATATAGCATACGTCACATAAGTGTGTAATAAGAAAAATGTATATATGTGTTTTTATATATATATATATATTTTTCTTTCTTTTTTAAGTAGGCCGCACTAACTTAGGTCGATTTGCGTATCTCTTGTGGATCACGTGTGTAGACTAATACTTGCATACCGATATAAACGTTAATGAAATTACCGATTGTGGTTAAATGAAATAGTAATGATGGTTTATTTCTATTTCGATAAATATATTAACATTATCCAAGCTCATAAATTTATTGAAACGTTTTGACACACCAATGAATATTATTTATACGTAATATTAGAGTTATTAAAATAAAAACATATATCATGTATATATTAATTATTATTATAAAAAATAACTTCAAAAAATATTAAAATTATATATAATATAACATAATTATATTACACACCAAACATACACACCAAACTTATATTTACTCAGTAAAAACAACGTATCTGATTGGTTAATTTCAACCAATCAAAAGTGCTTACAAGACAAGTGTACCAATCTGAATCATTATGAAAATTAAATGTCTCTAACCTCCGTCAATTGTAGAGAATTTGTATTTCTAATATTGCAATAATATAAATAGAGAAAAAAACTTTAAAAAATTCGGACGTTGCACTCTCTTGAATGTTTACAATTTAATGGATATCTAGGTTTTACTGTTTGGTAATCATCGAGATATGACGTAAATTTCATTTTTTAATTAATTGGCTTTTCATACCATACGTTCGTGTACCTTTTGACCCATAAAAATGAATTCCAAAAAAGTTCATCTTAGTTGATAAAATATTGTATTTATGGGTCATTACTTTCGTAATTTTAATTAACTCATAAGCGAGGTTAGTATCGTTTAATTGTCAAAACTTATATATGTTTTCTGTCATGTTGTATTTACGATGTTACATTTTCATAATTTGATAAGAACAGCTGGTCTCTGTTTATTATTTTATTTCGTTCAAATTATTTTATGCCAAATGTTTAGTTTCGTTAAACAAATCATATATATATAAAGATTATGTTTAATGCTATTAAGTTATTCTTTCTCTTTTATTATTATTATGCTTATTAATGTTAATTTGATTTACTTTGATTTTCAATTAATTTTTAATACTTTTCATTTTTTTGCCTTTGTTTTTAAGTATGCATGGTTTTATTTAGTTTGTTGGTGGTAAAATGTCTACTTCAGAGACTGGTGTGGGATGTATTAGCGAGGTTACCCTTGCTATTAGTAAAGCAAGGACTTCTCAAACAGGATCCATAAGGGTACTCGACAGTCCTGATTCTGATGGATCTGGCCATTCTAATTCGTTTTCCATACAACGATTTAATTATCCTAACGAGAATACTAATTCTAATATTCTTCCACCTCCCTTAACAAACGATGATTTAAGAATACCTATTGTTGGTTATGAAGTTATGGAAGAGAGAGCTAGATTTACAGTTAGTATATTCAATAAGTCATACTAAATGAAAATATATCAATTGAATTCTAGTTAGAAAACATTTGATATACTTTTATGTAGGTATACAAACTTCGTATTGAATTGAAGAATGGTGATTGTTGGTTTGTCTTCAGAAGATACACTGATTTTGTACGTTTATTTGCTCAATTAAGAAGACAAAAGCTTCCCATTTCTCATTTGTCTTTGCCGCAAAAAAAATGGCTCGGTGACAATTTTGCACCTAGTTTTTTAGAAGAAAGGATACGTGGTTTGCAAGCATTTGTCAACGGGATATTAAGTAATCCAATTCTTATAGGTAGCTCTTGCGTTAGACAATTTTTTTGTCTTGATGAACCACCTGCTTTGTCAGACACTGCAGAAGAATCTAGGGTAAATAACATATCTTTTTATTCTTTTATCATAATAATAAACTGTATTTCATGATATAAAGATAACGTTGATAGTTAAAATTAATGAATGTTTGTCTTTTTAGGCTATTTTTGAAGCGATGGAAGATACAATTTATCATTTAAGACAACAACTTAGAGAACGAGATAATGCTCTAGCAGCAGAATCTGCGCTTTGCAATGAATTACAAAAGAATTTACATCAGATGTTGAGGTAGGTGAATCTGTAATTGAAATTCTAAGGATTTGTCCATTTTTTTTTTAATTTGTATTAATCAATGTTTTAGCGAAAGACAGATTTGTTCTAAATGTGGCTCGACTCAATAAAACATTTGATTGTGAGATACATTAGATGAATTTTATTATATATTTATTTGAATATTTTTAGAAAAAGAGATTTCTACGTAAAAGATACTATTCAGTTTAAGGTAATGTTTGTTATAACATCTGCGTATAGAATGTAAAATTTGTAATTTTATTATTTAATCTTAACATTTAATGTTACGACTTATTTAGTGTAAACAAACAAAGATTTCTTAAGTATTCTTAATGTTAATATTTATGAAGAGAGAGATATCTGCACATATTTTATAATATTTATATGGATCGTTCTAGTGATGTATTTTAATTTTTTTTTATATTTTTATTTTTTATCATTAATAAGATTTGAAAAGACAATATAGTATGTAAAAATATATATATTTTTCTCTTTTGAGTCATTATACACATATTGATCTATAGAGTATAATATACATCAAGATTATTGTTAAATAAATTTTGTACAAATATTTACATTTGATATTGTAAAGATTTTGATGAAACGTTAACAATCTCTTTAATATTTTTCTCTACATTTGTGATTTTTTATAAATAAAAAATCAATGTATGCGCAATTAACCCGTTATTAAAATTTTATGCATGCAGTATGTTCCAGGGTTTAGCAGCCAAACTGTGAACTATATGAGTGGAAATAAAAAAAAATATTTTTTAAAGCTCAGCTGGTAATGCTTTATTATAAAGTTATAAACAAATGAAATTGAAATAGATAACAGCAAATGTCCTGAAAGAACAGTATCACATCGCTCTGTATTTATTAACATCCATTTTCAATAATGCAATTTGGATTTATTTTGACTTAGGAGCAAATATGATGTCCATTCAACTCTAAGATAGGAACGATACTTTGAATGAATCTTAAACTTTTTTGATAATATTCCTATACAAAGCATTCGACGTATTTCATCTCAATTACAGATACTATAAAATACTATTTGAAGAACATTGCGATGAAAGATTTGTTTATCATTACTCAACAATGCACGCATTACTTCTAACCAATTAATGGAAACGAATTTAATTTTGTAATTGGTATGCAAATTCAGTACAAAGAGACAATTTTTTTTCGTCGAGAATATTATGGAGAGACTTTTACAAGATGGTGTATATTCAATTTTCAGATTATTCAGATATGGGCCTACAATAATCCATATTCTACCTCACAAAAAAATTTTTAACACGAATTTCGATGTAATGTTTGGATAGATATGGTTAGTGACATGCTCCTTGGTCCATTAAATTTGCTGTTGCTTATTGTAATTTATTTTGTTTAAAATTTCAATTAACCGAACTGCAGTTTGGCTAATAAATCCCGGGATACTCTGTATACACATGCATATAAATCTTTTTGTATTATATTTAAAAATGAAATTATTTTATGAGATCAAAATAATTAGCTAATGCATTTAAATACTCATATTTATTGGTATTACAAAAAAGAAAATAATGAGTGTTGTAATAATGATAAATAATTGTATTTATTGAAATTAATAATTTTTCTTAGATTCTTGAACCATTTTAAATAGATAAGTAACACTTGCCTACGAATATTGGTCAGAATCTAAGAAATCAGTCTTCTTCATCTGGAGCAACAACCAAACTCAATGCTTGGATCAGGTACATTGACTTAGCTGTAAAAAAAATTCATAACATTTACAGTTCATCTATTCATTGTAAAAAGAAATCATTCAAAAAGTTACTCACTTAACCAAGAGCTTTTCTTTTTCTTATACACAAAAACGTGGTAAACAAGTATACCACACAAAATGAATCCAACAGCAAACAAATATTTGAAGGACGGTTCGTAGATCATAGGAATGACTGCGAGAAAAACAGCAATGAAAAAAACCAACCATGGTATTAAAATTGGTACTGCATATGGTCTAGGCGCATCAGGTTTAGTCCTTCTCATAATAATAAGTGCGATCATAGCAAAACCATAAAAAACCCATGTGAGAAAACTAGCAAATTCTATGAGAGCTGTAATGTCTCCTATTAATAAACAAATCAATGTGAGTATTCCTTGAAATGCTACAGCTGTAGCTGGCGTTAGTTTTTCCATGTGTACATAACTGAATATACGAGGTACATGACCTTCTCTTCCTGCAACATAACACAATCTTGATACACTAAATTGTATACTAAGACCACATCCAAATGTAGAAAATGCGACTCCAAGTGGTATAGCGAAAGATAACCAACTAGGAAGAACTCTTTCAGCCCAGAGAACTGCAACAGCAGGTGCACTGATCATTTCAGGGATCGTTAAAGCAGCCATATACATCAGATTCATTGATACATAGAGAACAGTAATTGTTGGTACTGCTATTAGTATACTTCTGAGGATATTTACTTCTGGTTTTTGAATTTCCTCTGTGATTATCGCAGCCGATGACCATCCATCGTATGCCCATAGACCATTGTAGAAAGCTAAGGCTATGTTACCAGCTGACGCAGTAGTACCATAAAACGGATTTTTGAGTAGTTCTGTGTGACCAGTACCTAACCACCATATACCACCTCCTATTACCAAAAAACATGCGGCAACTTTGCATACCATCAATGCATTCTGTACTTTAACATAAAGTTTCACGCTGGTCAAATTCGTAAAGGTGATCAAACCCAGTGCTAACATAGCAATAAGTTTTTTTAATTGATTCATTGATTCTGGTGGTAAACCATCCAAGTAGTCAGAAAATGGTTGTACTCCATATTCAGCGAACGTTAATATAACAACTGCGACTTCTGCTGGTCTTAGAAGTATTACATAAACCCAAGAACATATAAATGCTGGTATTTGACCTGCATAATGATGCAGAGGAGTATAAGCATCAATAAAGTATGCATATTCTGCACCGGAACGTGGTACAACAGTACTTAATTCTGCAAATGCTAAAGCACCTAACAGCGAAAGGAAACCACAAGTTATCCAGATAATCAAACAAAATCCCACAGATCCAGACCTTTCCAAAGCACTAGTTGGTGACACGAAAATTCCTGAACCTGAAAATGCAAAAAAAATGTTGTATTTTTTAATCAAATTTATTATGTGATCTGTAAAAAAAGAAAAAATTACTTAAGTTATAATTCTTTGCTCATTTGTAAATGGTTTAACGCGTAGGTCAGTAATTGACCCCAATTGAACTTTTCATTCATAACTCCGTTCAAAAGGGATAACGACAATGATTAACGACATTGTTCTTTAGTTAATGAGTCTCGTGTCATAGAAAATAAAAGAAACAAAAAAGTAAAGAAAGTAGGACATGTTAAAAATCCTGACGTAATGTAAAATTTATAACACAATTTATTATAGTTTAATAATTAAAAAACTAAAATCAATAATTTGATGTTTTAATAATTCAATTAATTTGGTTTTTTAAAATATCGTAATAACAAAGTTGTGTATTTAATTTTAAATTACTTAAATATAAATTCTTTTAATTTAATAGAAATTAATATTTTATTAAGTCAAAAAGGGATGTTAGAGATAGTGTTTCTCAAACTATATATATGTGCCGCAATCCTATATTCAAAAATTGAAAGTTAAATTAATTTAATAAAAATAATTAATTTAATTACGTAATTTAATTATAAAATAAGAATTTAATTTTTTCTCGGTATAATTTTATATTCATTATCAATTTACACTGATTACGTTACTACACATTTATATTATTATATACAATTTCGAATATATAATAGACACACAATGTACAATATATTATATATCAGGGGTGACCAACTTTATTCTATATGCTATCGACTTTTTGTCCTAAAAATGTGTCACTATCTATCTACTAAAATTTTGTCATTTAATATATTCAAACATGTGTCTTCTTGTGTACTAATACGTAACAATGGGGAAAAGGATATTAACCAACATGATATTTCATTAATATTTATTAATGAAGAAGTAGTCACAAGAAAAATACAGATGAAATTGTATATTTTTTTATAATATAATTACTATAATTAATAGAAATCTTTTTTAAGTTTTTTACCTTGTAAGATTAAATCAGTTTGCTGACTTATCACTTTATTTTCTAACGGGTTGTTTTCAATATTAAATGTGTCAGCAATCGTCTCCTGTTAGCTATAATCGACTAAAAAATCGCTTCACGATCAACGTGTCAGTCACTTCTGCTATATATATAATTATATTACTACAATTATATTATTATAATTATACCGATATAAATTATGCTACAAACTTTACATTACGTAATTTTATTGTTTCAGGTAAGCAAAACTTAAATTTATAATTAATTAAATTATTTTCTTTTTGTTATCTATTATATGATATTATTTGGTCAAATATATCTTAGAGTAGTGTTTATCAATCTACGGGTTGTAACCAATATTAGAAAATAAAAAATAATTGAAATTTATAAAATTTATTTGTTAAAAATTCTTGTTAAATTGTTTTTACGTTATTGCAAAAATACCACAGTAAAATTCATATTTAAAAAATAATATATAATAACGTCAGTCCTATACTTGGTTCTCAACAATATTTTTTTCTTGGTTTAATTAAATATGAATAATTATCGTTGCACAATTTAATAATTTTTTAATGATTTAAATAAATTAAAATTAATGAGTTGGAAGAGATAGGAAAAAAATTATTACTGTTACATTTTAATCTTTTGATGAATCGTTAATGTTACTCAATATCGCGAACTTGCAAAATGCTGACTAACAAAGATCTACTATTATATATCTTAAAAAGCCCTGGGAATATTTCATGTCGACATTATTTATAATTCTTTTATGTATTACGATCAGTTAATCTCATATTCTTCTTATTATCAAGTTGGAACTTATTCAATCATAAGCAATTATCTTATTATCTTTAACTATGGTCTTGTAAATCTATCAAATGTTATCTTAATGAAACTGTTTCTAGTTATTATATCATGATTGATATTGAAAGAAAAAAATATAATAATATTAATAAAGAATATTTTTAAAGGCACATAATCTATCAGTTTACGATTAGGTGTTATCTTTTTAAGTAATATTTATATGCTTACGTATTGCAAATTCCGTAACATTTAATCGGCACATTTCGTAATGTAATATATTATTTCATTAATTATTTACTTTTTGAAAATTAAAAAAAAAAGTACGATTGTGAAAAATTAATATTTTATACAAGATGGGGCAATAACTCTATTCACTTTGAACATCTCCTTTGTTTATAATTATATTAAAAAAACTTTAAAGGAAAAGGTTTCAATTGAAAGAATGTTTTTTTCAAGGTCATTTATTTACGAGATTCAA